CCTATAATATAAAGTAGATTTGTGCATCATGCAGGCAGGTTAAAGAAGATGATTTCTGGGGCTGGGGATGTGGCTCAAGCGGTAGTGCGCTTGCCTAGCATGGGTGGGTCGCTGGGTTCCATCCTCAGCATCACATAAAATTAAAAAAAAAAAACATAAATAAAGATGTTGTGTCCACCAAAAACTAAAAAATAAATATTAAAAAATTCTCTCTCTCTGGCTAAAAAAAGAAGAAGAAGAAGAGAATGATTTCTGAGGCTGTTTCCATTCATTGAGCTTTATTCCATCCTATGCATGTGTATTTTTTCTGCTCAAAGTGCCCCTAGCTCACAGCTTCTTTGAGCAACTCCATTGTTTCTGGGCCTGTGATAAGGTAGAATATCATGGCTGGTGGGGAGGATGTGGCAGAGCAAAGCCACTTACTTCTTAGCAGCCAGGAGGGGCGGGGGGACTGGGACAAGATATACTGGTTAAGGATATGCCCCAGTAATCCACCTTCTCCATCTAGGCTCCACCTCCCCAAGTCTCCACCACCTTCCAGCTGCGCCACCAGCTTCAACACCCAAACTTCTGGGGTGTGGGAGACCAATCTAGCACGTGACTGTGTCTTACTGCCCTGCTGAGCAGTGTGGCATCCGGTGGCAGGCACACTGCTGGTTAGCCTGGGTCTCCTAGGGTTCTAGAGACTATCTTCATGCAGGCGCGTGTCTCTCCACATATACAGGGATCCAATCACCTCACCTGTCCTTGTAACCCTGCCCCCCTTGACTTTCATTGGATAGGATTTCCTAAGAATTTAGATTTCCCTAATAAAAGCGTGCTTGCTTTCTCGCCAGCCTCCCGTCCTGGAGCTTGGTTTTAAGGTAAATTGTGTGTCTGTGTTTTATTTCTAATGCCTTGGGAACTTGTGAACTTGAGTTAGCCGGCTGTGCTGGATGCAGATGGCACTGGAGTACATTTCAGAATCAAACTACAATATTGAAAATTTTGACAATACCAAATGCTGGCAAGAAGGTGTAAGAGCAATTCTCGTTCACTGACGGTGGGATGGAAAAATGGTACAGTCATTTTGGAAGAGAGTCTGACAGTTTCTTACAAAGCCAAATATATCTTAGTACGTGATCCAGCAACCATGCTCCTTGATATTTGCCCAAATGAATTGAAAACTTGTTTACATAAAAACCTGCACTTGAATGTTCATAGCGACTTTATTCATAACTTCCCCCTAAATAGGAAGCAACCATAATGTCCTTTAACAGGTAAATGGATAAACAGGTATACCAATGCAATGCTGTATTATTAACAGAAAAAAGGAAATGAGCTATCAAACCTCTAATCTACATATTGTGGAGTCGGGCTCCAAATTCCTTAATAGGACACCCATAGCACAAGAGTTAAAAACAAGAATCAACAAATGGGACTTACTCAAACTAAAAAG